GTTAGAGAAACTTTTCTTGAATTTGATAATGAATATCTGTTACTTTGTGGTGACTTTAATCTTGCTTTAAACCCTTCTTTAGATACTTTCAATTATCGTAGTGTCAGTAACCCAAAAGCACGTGAGAAATTATTAGAGGTTATGGAAGATATTCAGTTAATTGACTACTATAGAATTTTAAACCCAGACAAAAAAATATATACCTGGTTGAAAAAAAATCCATTAAAACAAGGTCGCCTTGACTATATTCTTATTTCAGAAAGTCTTTCAAATTTGGTTGAAAACTTTGCTATTAAACCTGGTTACAGGTCTGACCATTCTTCAGTTATAATGGAATTAAAATTTAATTCTTTTGAAAGAGGGCGAGGTCTATGGAAATTCAATAACAGCTTATTAACAGATAAAACATATGTTGGAAAAGTGAAAGAAACTATAGAAAAGGTAGTTGCCCAATATTTACATGTTCCAAATAATGACGGTAATCAATGTAATGTTCAAATTGATGACAGTCTGTTTTTTGAAGTTCTTTTGATGGAAATTCGAGGGGTTACTAATTCTTATTCATCTTTCAGAAAAAAAGAAAGACAAAATTCAGAAAAATTATTACTAGAGGAAATTGAACATTTAGAAACAATGACAGAAATTAATTTTGAACTTTTAGAAGAAAAAAAGCTGAGTCTTGAAAATTTGAGAAAAGAAAAATTGCAGGGGCATATCATAAGATCACGAGCTCGATGGATTGAAGAAGGGGAAAAACCGACAAAGTATTTTTGTAATTTAGAAGCCAGGAATTTTTTAAATAAAACTATTAAAAAGGTAGAAGTAGAGAGTGAGGGTACAATATATAATCAGGCAGAGATCTTAAATCATGTGAAATTATTCTATAAGCATTTATATATAAGTTCAGATTCTGAGCTCTTAGATATTAATTTAGAAGAAATTATTCAAGGACAAGATGTCCCAAAGTTAGATAAGCATGCATCTGAGAAACTTGAGTGTGATATTAATGAAAAGGAAGTAGCAGAAGTGCTTAAAAATATGAAAAATAACAAATCTCCAGGTAGTGATGGTTACACGGTTGAATTTTTTAAATTCTTTTGGAATGATTTAAAGGCTTATTTACTTAAGGCAATTAAATGTATTTTTATCAATAACGAGCTCCCAATATCACAAAGATTAGGTATAATTTCATGTATTCCAAAAGGTGATAAACCTAGACAGTTTCTAAAAAATTGGCGCCCAATAACACTTCTAAATGTTTTATATAAAATAATATCAGGATGTCTCGCACAAAGAATTAAAACAACATTAGATTATTTAATATCAGATACTCAATCAGGATTTATGAAAGGGAGGTATATAGGTGAAAATACAAGATTCATGTATGACTTAATCCACTACACAGATTCCAAAAGCATCCCAGGTCTATTAGTTTTGATTGACTTCGAAAAAGCCTTTGATTCAATTTCATGGACATTTACATACAAAGTTTTGAAGTATTTTGGTTTTGGTTCAAAGATTATAAATTGGGTCAAGATTCTAAATTTTAATTTTAAAGCTTCTATTTTACAAAGTGGATTTTTATCTGATCAGTTTGATATACAAAGAGGTTGCAGACAAGGTGACCCTGTTTCTCCATATTTATTTATTCTATGTGCAGAAATTCTGGCAATTCTAATTAAACAGAATAAGGACATTAAAGGTATTGTGGTAGATAATAAAGAACATAAATTATCTCAGTATGCTGATGACACTTTTCTTGCTTTAGATGGTTCACAAAAATCCCTTTTTGCTGCTCTTGATACCATTGATTTTTATTCAAAACTTTCAGGATTGAAAATTAACATATCAAAAACTAAAATAGTGTGGATTGGATCAAAAAAGTATTCAAAAGAAGTTTTCCATCACACAAGGTGGAAACTAGAATGGGGAACTACAACTTTCAACTTACTAGGAATTCAGTTCTCAGTTCATCTTAAAGAAACTGTTGATATTAATTATGACTTACAACTACCTAAAATAAGAGCTTTGATTAAACAATGGAAGCGAAGAATCCTAACTCCAATTGGTCGCATAACTGTTGTTAAGACGCTTATCCTACCTAAGCTTAATCATTTATTTATTTCTTTGCCATCTCCTAGAAAACAGCTTTTAGTTGATTTGCAAAAAGATATTTTTGAATTTATATGGAAATCCAAATCGGATAAGATAAAGCGATCCCTTGTCACACAAGACCATCTTTCTGGAGGTTTAAAAATGGTCAACTTAGACAATTTTATAATTGCTTTAAAATCTTCTTGGATGAAAAGGTTAACTCAAAAACAAAAACCATGGATGGATTTCTTTTTTGCATTAAATGGAAAAGGTGTTATTGAGAAGTTATTTCATTTTGGGGATCTGTTTATTTCAGAGCATTTACTTCCTAAAAACAATTTTTTCTGGCAAGATGTATTAAAATCATGGCTGGAAGTTATGAAGTGTTTAAATAATTGTAAACATGTAAAAAGTAATTTTTTAAATATCCCGGTGTGGTACAATTCTAATATCTTGGTTGGCAAACGGTCTGTTTTTATCAAAAATTGGTACGAGAAGGGTATCAGAGTAATAGGAGATTTTTTAGATAGCGAAGGAAAATTTTTATGCTTTGATTCTTTACAAAAAAGATTTTGCCTCTCACAAACGGATACAAATAAGCAGATTATGCAATATAATAGTGTTCTTACTGCAGTATCAAAATATTTGAAATGTATGTCTATTGACAACCACTTATTCACAAAATCTTACAATACACTTATGCCCTTTTATTATGAATTGTTGTTACAGTCAGAAAAATGCACTAAGCCAATTTACTCCATATTAAACACAAATAATGTTAAACCTACATCTATATCAAAATGGATTTCCATTTTGAGTATCTATGGGCAGTGTAATTTTGAAATACATGATGTTTTTAAAGTTTGTTTTAAAGTAACAAGTGATACAGCTGTTCAATGGCTGCAGTTTAGAATACTGCATAGGATTCTTCCTGTAGGTTATTATCTTAAAAAGATTAATATCAAAACTACTGATTTGTGTACCTTTTGTAAGAATGAAAGTGAAACAATCCAACATGTATTTTTATTTTGTAATAATATTTTGGCATTGTGGAGTAGTCTTAGCCAACATATATATAGAGCTACTTCAAAAAGGGTCGGATTTAACATTAATAATGTTATATTAGGAGAGATTCCTTTGTCAAAAAATAATAGAGCTGTGAATTTTATTATATTATACACTAAACAATATATCTTTACTTGTTTGATGCAGAAGAAAATGCCAAATCTCAATGCACTCTTATGTCATCTAAGAATCAAATATAATGTCGAAAAATTTGTTTCAATCCAAAAGAATAAAATTGTGTATTTTAATTCTATATGGTCTACATGGAAACCTGTTTTTGAGGAGTGACAGTTCAGATGGCATTCACTATTGTTATTGTCTTTTATCCGCATATTGATAAAAGAATATATGTATAATTCAGATAATTTATGCACAATGTTATAAGGCGTTGGAGGAAATAGTGACGAATTGAATTTTCATTTATTATCTTTTTTTATCTCTCTTTTTTAATATTATCTATAGATGGATAGTGGATAGTGTGAAATGGTGAGTGTGTTTGTGTGTAAGGCATAAATGTAAATATGTTCTTCTATCTCTTTGTTTATTATGAGAAAAAATATAAATGAAAAAAAAAACAAAAAAACTTTGATCAAACATTTCTATTGCCTTTCAATTCTTAAAGGTAAGACACTTATATAGAGTTTCCCAAGCATAATCAATTATAACCTAGACCCTTGCTGGATTTATAGACATGAAGGAACAAAGAAAAATAATTTTTTCTCAAACTTCCTGTAACGTTTAATTGGTAGTTGTAATAAAAAATACATTGTATTTTCTACTATACATATATTTTTAAATTCAAAAATTTATTTTCAAAAGAGCCACGGCTCTAGACTAGAATTATGTTTGTAAACAATCAAACATAATATCGTATCAAAATTATTTTATTGATATGAATAAATAGTTTTAAATTCACATTTTTAAGGAACTCGTAATTTAAAAAGTGTTATACTATCCTGAAGTTTCTTTTTTTTTTGTTATTTGCTAATTCGATCAAGAAAACTCGGACTATCTCAGGACAGCACTTGTGGAAGAGAGCTCTGTAATTTCTCATTTATTTACCTGTTTGGAATTCCTTATCATTCTCGCTAGAATGCCTTCCACAATATTTCGAATTATAAGATGTCGATATGTTTTGAGTAGGATCCAGTCTTGCTTATTTTTACCTTAAAAATTATTTTACTTAGAATCAGGACTTTTCCAGGGCATTCATTTAAGCATTTTTTCTGCTTTTAAAAAATTATTATTATTGCCTTTTCCCTAGTAAAACACACAAACTGTTTCCATTGATATACTTAATACATGTAAGTATATGTTAATGAACATAAGAAAGCTACACTTACAAGACCTACATACTAAAACTCAGTGTTATTTTACGTTGACATAAGAAGACATTTATAAAAATACCAACGGCTTCATGTAAGATATACGAAACACGGACAGGGATTCTCATGACTCAATTCCAAGGCAGTTCCTTGTAAACTTAATTCACACAAAACCTTGTACATTAACGCTAGTTTTTGTGCAAAAATGGAGCAGTTATAAGCACTAAACTTCATGATTGCCAAATCTTTAACGACATTGCAATATTTATCATTATCTTCTAAATGTACTTTTGTCAGCAATATATTACCAAATTGTACACAAAGAGTGTATAATTTCACGTAATGTTTTTGGAAATTTTTTTTAATTTGTATTATTAACTTTTTTTAATTCAATGCATAAAACAATGAATATGCAAGTTGTTTTTTAAATTATCATTTACTTAACATAAAATATCAAATTGAATGCACGAATATTATAGATTTGTTGTCAATTAATAAAATGCATTTTTATTGTAGGTACATTCAATACAATAACATTACCGTATTGGACAAAGATATTTTCCTGGGACTTTCAAAATTAGAGACTCTGTAAGGATGGTGTATATATATAATTTTTCAATATTTCCAGTCTTGATAACATCGAAAAGCCTAATTAACATTGTTTTTGTATTTTCTGTTTCTACAAATTAATTCAATTGCTTTATGTTTGTATCAGTTGATATGCTTATCAAATGATTGTGATATTTTGATACCAAATTTAAGCACGCACATTAAACTTTTAACTTATTATAGGGCAGTAGCAAACAATCCTCTGCACTGTGACTGCATCTTGGCCGATTTTGTCAAGTTTGCCCAATCAAAAAACTTGACGTTAGGATTTTGGTCTGAACCGACATGTTCAACTCCCAGTAATCTGACAGGAGTTTTTTTTAAAGATCTATCCTCGGAGGACATGAATTGTGAAGTCACTACATCAACAACACCAATAACGGAAACAACAAGTAAAATGATCATTTTCTTACTTTAAAAATCTCTCACTGCTTTCTGCGTTTCCTCATAGACAATATATCTTTATAAGTACTTAGTAACTTAATATGTTTACTTGCAATATTCTACCTTCGTGTAAATTGGTAAAATCCGATTCATCAAGAAACATTTCCTTAAAAATCAATTTTACCCGCTGAATAATGAAGCTCCGCCCTCCAGCGCAGCAAAAGTCGGCATTGCTTGATTTCAGATGATAAATTCCAAAATAAATGTTGACTGCGCGGAATTTATGCGCTCAAGGTTCTCTGTAATATGTATTTGTATAGAACTTTCTGTATAATATGATAAAAATTATTGTCACTCGAAAACCATCGTCAACAATTGCTGCGTTTCGGTTGACAATCGTTTTTGGGAGAAAAGTTTTCAATGTTACTCTCATCTACATTCAATATTTATATATAATATCATTAATCTTTATTTTATGAATTCTTTCCCATAAACTATGAGCTATATTTAACTTCATATTCGTCCTACAAGGTAATCATAATGTTCATGTTACCAAACATGGTAATGAATGCAATTTTCTATGAAAATCTAAAAAGGGATCTTGTTTAATCACTTTTATCAAATTTTGCACGTCAGAATTGCTTCATTGATACTTAGTATTCTTTGCGGACTAGAAAAGGGATTCTATGGCTTACAAGATAGAAATGAACTTAGATTGAATTTGAGGAAGAGGGGGTTGACTGAAAACCAATAAAAAAAATCTACGTGGGGATAAATACTTACTTAAACGAGTATTGTAGCGTGTCTGCATACAATTTCTTAAAGCTGAATGAGAAAAAAAAATGCTCGTTTGCTGAGAGCATAATCTTAATTGAAAACATTGATTATCAATATTATATTGTTTGTTGAGAAATGAATCTGAAAAGGTATCGCAGACTGTATTTTTATTTTCAAACCAAGCGTGCTTTTTTAATAGTAGATTCGATGTCTTCAGTTTAATGAAGGGACGTGTTACTAGCCATATAACACATTTAACATACTCGTACAAAACACTTTCTTCCCGATAAATCATTGTGTATTTGTAAATTTTTAATAAAAATAATGTCTGTGAAGAAATATAAAACCAAATATCATTGAAATATGACCCAAATAAATTCTCTTTAAAAACACTTCTATATAAGTTATATGCTTATTTTGCAAGTGAAATCCAAGAAAACACTAACAGAAAAAAATAAATTTATTCATAAAATAGATGATCACAGTTACAAATGATTGAGCGTTTTTTTTTCTTTTTATGATCAATTATTTTCTTATTTACATTTTATAATAATTTTTCTTGAATTTATAATTAAGGTCTTCCGTCATCACGGAAGACCTTATAGTGATTCTATTGTTTCTTCTTATTATTATTATTATTTTTCCGTACACTAAATTTTGTGCACGCGATTTCTCGAAGACTACTGGGTGGATTTTCATGAAATTTACAGAAATTATTTGTTGTTATCTGAAGTTATTTTTTCCGAGAGATTTTTTGAAAATTCTCTTCTGGTGCCAAGTTACGGGACATTTTCTGAATTTAAAATGACATTTTGTCTACGGTTAATCTCAAGAACGGTAGAAGATATCAACATGAAACTTTTAGGGATTATAGATCGTGATATTCACTATCCAGGACGCGACCTTTCGTTCGTCGTCAATACTTCCTGTCGTTAGGAGATGCGAAATTAAAAAAGTGCATTTTCTAACTTTTTTGTTCTTCAATATTTTTCATTTATTTTTGGAATGTTAATAGTGACCTTTCCATTGATGCTTACTATATAAGTTGTTTTAGTATTGGTTAATTTGAACTCTAGATATTAATATTTGAAAATCTGAAGCGGGCCCAAGATGGCGGCTGTCTCTGTCTACTACACCATTTCGCGAGTAGGGGTTTATGGAGGCAGCTGAGCGTTTGATTGAACCATTCTGACATAAGGATACATGAAATGTGAAAAATTACCTGGACTTTCACGTAGTAGTACGTTGCAATTGAGTGTCAATCTTGAAACTTAATTTCCGTTTCACTGCTTTAGTGTAACTGGGCTAGATACGATATGTAATGTGTACAATGTGTTAAATATACTTTCTTAACGTCGAAATAAAATAAAGGCCATAAGAACGTTTTATTTATTTAATTTCATTGAAGCTATCACACCTATTTAATAGATCAGTCCAAAGAAAAGGCGCGAATATTTATTCTTGGCGTTTAGCGCGAAATTATGAATAGTGGTCCGCCTTTTATAATTCTTAGACAAATGTACTGTTGCAAAAGTATACAAAAGTATATTTAGAGCAGTGCTCCAAATTATAGCATAATGGTATGCGCGTTAGGGATAAAAGAGAAAAAAAGTGCATTCACGTTGGCGACCTGTGTTCAATCCTCCTTTTGACCAAAATTTTGAATCACTTTTCAGCTTTATTTTACGAGGTTTTTTTTCCTGAATCGGACGGAAGACCTCTCGTTGCTCGCAACGAGATCGTATCTAGTTATATTTATTTTGGTGAAATTGAAAAAAAGGTAAAAGTATAAAAATAAAACTATATTTATCCGGCAGTATGATATATAACGCCAGTCGAATCTATCACATACGGTAGTCGAGCTACCCCGATCTGATTAGAAACAAACTGATTCCTGTCCATATATTAGCCAGGGAGATATGGTTGGCTGCCATTTGAAATATAGTTATACACAACATTCAATATGGTGGTGACTGTCTGTTTTTCACATTTTACGGTAATATAAAATAAAACAATAGTTAGTGTATGACTGACCTTTATAATGCTTTGGAACCTCGTGTGCTGTATTAAAATGCACAGAATCCTGTATTCAAAACTAAAAACAAGTTTGGCTTTCCAGAAAGCCTTTAATGTCATCTCTTTGGCTTCTTAATGTCAAAGAATAAACAGTGAAGTGTAAATTTTCTCAGTTATAACAGATTTTTCTATTACTTTAAGGAAGGGGGTAGGTGGTTTACAGTTTTAGGTATAGGAAAAAAGTAAGGATCCAACTCAAAAATCCTCTGTTGCAGATAGAAAGGAAATATTTTAACAACTTGATTTATTTATTTATTTACATGACTATGCTCCAGCAAACAGTATACATGTAGATAAGGGAGGGCTTTCGATGAACAATTACGACAGTACAAGGCTGCTAAAAGAACCAGGACACAAATTAACTAAAATAATGTTTTTAAAAAACCTTTTTTATCTGGAAATTATCAGAACCACAAAGCTTTGGACACGTTGTTTTATGGACATATATATATATCGCACTTTCACAAAGTAATTCTTTTTGTTGTGTCATTGTTTATTGATCCTTCAAGTTCAGTGCGTATATACGAGTAAACATGTATATATTTTCTATATTTTATAAACAGGAAAACTCCTTAAAAATGCTAGAAAATACCCATTATGCCTCTTTGTGATCTTAATCTTTCAATAGCTGTAGTTTCTTATATAAAAAATTCACAATCAATTCATATCAGTAAATGCAATTAATTAATAAATATGAATGTTTTAAATTTGATGTTTTTCTGTGAACTATTGGATCCACGCGTCGGCCGCAAATGATCTTTACACACGCGCTGACCTAGTTAGAAGATTCTATCGAGTTCTGCATGACCATCATTTACGTGAAGACTATACATGCAGTACACATGTATATTTTTGAAGAGCCCCCGCCACCCAGGCGATCTCGATGATTTCTGTGTAGCTTGTATTTTTTCTCAATTGATTAAGGCCGATTGCTCATTGTTTACGCCTCGATCTATATTTAGAAATCCGCATCATCATCAAACTGACCAGTCGATGATCCTAGAATGACCTCGCGCTTTTTGTATGGAGCGTAGTGGAGTCAGCCGAGGATTGCCGATTGATAAATGTGCAGCTTACACTGAAGACTTCACATCCGGAAATCAAACTTAATGTGTCATCTCTCGTGAGAGATGACAATAATCTGCAGATTATGCCCGATCAAAATAAACAATTTTACGGTGTTTTGCATCATTGATCAATATTAGAGCATGCATATGATTAGTGAAATGCTGGAAAGGAAATTACGAAAATGTCATTAATTTCCTTTGTACAAGGTAAGAATAAAAAAAAATATTAAAATGTAAATCAAGAAAACCATTTCATGGCGAGAGAGAGAGAGAGAGAGGGGGGAGTTTAAAAATCAATAAATTACATAAAACGTTTATTGACAACTGTTGGTTTCTTTTTCACAAAATCTTATGGATCAAGATTAAACAAGAAAAATACCGTATAAATGGAATAAAATCCCTTCGTATCTTAATATTTTTCCCTAATTAATCGTATATATATAAAAGCAATATGCAACTACGTTTCTTTTTTTTTAAATTTCTGCGATTCAACTTTAGGGAAGTTATTCATTTGTACAATACTCAATTCAAAAAAGTATCTAATTGTGAAAAATATTTGATTAATTTATATAGAAGAAATTATCACCTCGTTTTCAATAATGTTCAGCATAATTTGGGAATCATATTTTACGATATTGTGATTTAAAATAAATTGTCACAAATGAAGGTTCCAAAACAGGAAAGATTTTTTTAAATATACATATTCAGTTATATTTACTTGTACATATGTACTTCAAGACCGAGTAATTTATAGAAAATGAACATGATGAATTTAAAGTGTTTCTTATGATTCATATATTTCAGAAACAGTTTTTGAATCTATTGAAGGTAAATGCTTGCAAAGTCTCATTGGTAAAAGCATTTGTAAAAACGTTGAAAAATACTCCATCCTTCACAACTTTACTTGTTCGGCACATTGTTTTCTGTTTTTCCTCCCTACTTTTTGTTTGTTTTAAAGGCATGTTTTAATTTTAAAATGTGCAAGATAACGATTTTTAATTCAGATATTTGTTTATGTTTTATAAATTTGTCATTTTCCATTTTTTTCCTACAGAGTTCA